GAAAAGGACCAGCTATTAAGGATTGTAAAAAAAAAAAAAAAAAAAAAACAAAGACAAAAAAAGCAAAATAAAAAATCCAGCTGTCTGAAGACTCTAAATTGCAATGATGTTTAAAATTTTTAAAAAATCACAACAAAGATGATTGCTAGACAAATAATCAAACAGTATCATTAAAAGAGAAACAAAAATCGAAATCCCAACTCCTTCAGCTGTTCCATTAGTTTGCCATTAGTGCGCCAATTTCGTGAACGAATTAATAAATTATAACCGCGATACCGTACTTCCCGGGCAAGGGAAGTGAGCGTCAAGCATTCGAGGAACGATTGATGAGTGAGGCCACTTACAACATTCAGATGACAAAACATCGCAGATCGATAACAGGCTGAAATATACTTTGAACATTTACAACAGTTGTGAAACTGTAAATCTCCAAAGAGTCCGTGCGATAACATTTACTAAAGACCTCACTCGCGATAAGTTTGATTTATTTTGGGGTGTAAAATACGTGAAAACCAATTAGGCAGCTTTGGTTTTAAAATAAATGGAAACGGTAAGCAACGTCAAAATCCTTTCTCTGAACGAATAAATCGTCTTTTAATATAGATAAGCCCTCAGCGAAGCGGATCATTTTAGGTCTCTGAATGGAAGAGATCGTCTTATGCAATCAGGCGTTAAAACTTAATAGGAGAAATAGAAACTTTTACATAAGACAATTTAATAAACTGATTAATAAAACCAGTGTGGACCACTCTTACAAAAATATTAGGTCAAAGTCCTGGCACACAGGTGCCTTATTTATATCGTCCTTATCAGGTGTCACGTAAAGAGCCCACCCGTAAAGCCGACCGGCCCCCAATATTTATGTCACCAATTAGGTTACACAAAATTATTCAGATAAGATGGAGCCATAAATGAGGGCAAGTGATTAGGGTTAATGCCAGTCATCTCACGCGGTGTTATACAGCACATGACAGGGTGTTATGAAGCAAATGACGCGGTGTTATGAAGTAAATGACGCGGTGTTATGAAGCACACGACACGGTGTTATGAAGCATATGACACGGTGTTATGAAGCATATGACACGGTGCTATGAAGCACATGACGCGGTGTTATGAAGCACATGAAACGGTGTTATGAAGCATATGACACGGTGTTATGAAGCACATGACATGGTTTTGTGAAGCACATGACACGGTGTTATGAAGCATTTGACACGGTGTTATAAAGCACATGACACGGCGTTATGAAGCACATGGCACGGTGTTATACAGCACATGTTGATACTTTTGTGTTTACCTTTAAAAAAACACCTTTATTTGATATTTAACGCTCAAAGCTTATTTTTCAATCCTTGTTTTTTTTTAATTAAGCACTAGAAAATATTCCCCGATGTTAACGAACTGATATGAGCAGACACTTTGCCATAATTTCAACCTGCTATTGTTAAAACTCAAAATACTTAAGTTTTTCAAAAAAAAAAAAAAAAAAAAAAAAAAAAAGATATTACTCTTACAAAATTTTAAGAGTTTAATTATAAGACTTTTAATGTTTTTTTTTTTTTAAAGTCTAACTGTACACACATTATTGCTTAAAGTAAAGAAATTAGAAACTGATTGCGAACATTTAGTTATCGAAAAATATTTAACGTCTTAAAAATATATATTCATTCAAAATGTCCGATTATTGGTTCCATGTTGACTCGTCATAGGTATTCGTTTTCATGGGCACTGAAATTTATTTTAAGAAAAAAAAAAAGAAAGAAAAAAAAAATTAAATTAAAAATAATTTAAAACAGATGTTCCAAACAAGACCACTGTTTAGCTTGAAAAAAAAAACACACACACAACTCCTTTCAGGAATTTTATTAGAAGATATTTTAAATCCAACATCAATTGTTATAAACACAAACACGTTGGGCCACGACTGCACAGGTATCCGAGAAACATTGCGGGAATCTCATTTCACTCTAGCTCCAATAACCGGTAGCGATACAAAAAATCGATCATTGAAATTTACTAGCATGATGGCAGATAAGCTGCTCTGGAGCTGCCCTGAATTAATATTTCACAATAGTACTTCGGAAAAGAGTATGAATATGGGAATGAAACAAATAAAAGGCTGGTAGTAAAAAGACTAACATCGGGGCCAACATGAACACGAATACTTTACATTAATTGGCCATTCGATATGCACCACAAGCCCCGAAGCCGGCAGTTAAAAGTGTGTTTGGGGAAGGATTGGGCCAGGGAAAAGGTCCCATGCACAGAATAAACATACTAGCCCCGGTATGTGCAAATAACGGATCGAACCGGCTCGAATGTGGGGCCAAATACAGGCAGTCGAAACTCAGAGAGAGTCAACGAGTCTTAAAAACCTTCTTGGTGTGGTGGTATTTTAAATATGACTAGAATACGAATGATTAGAAGAGGACCAGCTATTAAGGATTGTCAAAAAAAAAAAAAAAAAAAAAAAAAAAAAAAAAAAAAAAAAAAAAAAAAAAAAAAAAAAAAAAAAAA